GATTTGGCACATGTTCTTTGATATCGCCAGTGTTCCCTTCATGTTCATTTGCTATTCCTAAAAACTAGCAGGGATTTTTATGTGAACAATAGAGTAACTATAGAACATAAATACATTTGTATACTTTCTCAGGCACTGATACATGAAGTCAAGCACTAACCATATCTTACTTGACATCAAGGTAAACACAACTATTTCTGTTTGAATCTACAGCATAGAGTTCTTCAAGACTTCATTGCAAAAGAAGTTCATATTGTCATGTTATGTTATGTTATGTTATGCTATGTTATGTTATGTTATGTTATGTTATATTAAAACTAACCTCCCTTAAAAGTAAACCATTACTTTGAAAACATTAATTGCTCAATTTGTGAATATATGTTTACACAGTTATATTCATTTTCTTTAGCCTGCTCAGATAAATGCAGAACAAGTTAAAATAAAGCAGTCCTAGATGGACCAGTCTAGCATTAGAAAATTCCATTGACAAAGAAATTCTTCAGCCAAAGGCGTCATGCGATTGGTCTTACGCATAGCTGGGAAATCCTAAACAAAGGGCAGCTGGCATTATCACTAGATGAAAGTTAAACTAAGATCTCTTTCTTCCAAATGTGTTAGCAGCACACATCATAATTAAAATGTAATGCATTTATACAAGGTTTTTGAAGCCAAGTATTATTCAACTTCCTAAAGCATTATGCTCTAGAAAAAACACTATTTTGAATGGCAAGCCTAACTTTTCTTAGAGTTCATCTAAGCCCCAACATGAAACTTTTTTTCTTTCTAAAATGGCACATTACAGATACAGTAAGTGATCTCTTAGGAATCCTATTCAAAATCCTCATCTTCGGTGATTTAATTTCTTCCTCAGATTCTAAAAAAGAACAAAGAACAAAAGACCTCAAAACATAAGAATAAAAATTTTTGCATTTCAAGTCAAGGCTAACTAAAAACAACAAAAAGCATAAGAGTAAAAATTATAAATCATGGAAATAGCCCTTCTTCTCAAGGTTTTTATTGGTCTTGGGTTTCTAACCAGAAAAACAGTAATACTAGCCAGGTGTGGTGGCACATGCCTAAAATTCCAGCTATTTGGAAGGTTGAGGCAGAAGGATCACCTGAGTCCAGCAGGTCAAGGCTGCGGTGGCTGTGAGTGTGCCACTGTACTCCAGCCCGGGCGACAGAGTGAGAATCCAACTCAAAAAAAAGAATAACAGTAATATTCTCAAGGTTTTTCTGCTATTACTGCACTCTAAAAAGGAGAAAATATTTTCCAAGTTTGGCCTTGTTGCTAACTTTCACTGATCCTTCTAAAAATTGTCTTTTGTAAAAAAATGAAAATATCTAGTCTTTAAGTGTAAAAAAAACAAAAAAAGTACAAAGATTACTTTGCTTGACACATCCCCTAAAGCTGTTTTAAGAATTTGCCTTAAACTGAGCGTGGTGGCTCACGTCTATAATCTCAGCACATTGGGAGGCAGAGGTGAGAGAATTGCCTGAGCCCAGGGGTTCAAGACCAGCCTGTGCAATATAGCGAGATCTCGTCTCTACAGTTAATTTTTTTAAAAAACAGCCAGGTGTGGTGGCATGCGCCTGTGGTTCCACCTACTTGGAAGGTGGAAGGATCACCTGAGTCCAGCAGGTTGAGGCTGAGGTGGCTGTGAGTATGCCACTGCAATTCAGTGACAGAAATAGACTTCCACTTTAAAAAAAAAAGCTTTATATACTGTGAGTAAAAAGAGACTAAGGATCACTTCGTAATACAGAATATGTAACTGCAGAGATAACATGCTCTGCAATTAGAGGATGGAGTACCCAATTCCTCAAATCAAATTTCTTCCTGAAGACTTCCTGGTATTATCGCTTAACATCTTCCATTTCACAGATTATCAACTTAAATCCAGATTACATTTACTGTGTTCAGAAGTCCATTTCAATACTATTTAATGATTTATTTTAAATTAAGTTTATAAATATCTAGTTATCCAGTATCTCTATCTCTTTTTCCCCAACTCTCAACTCTTGGGTCTTCTTCCTTACCTTTCCCTTCTCTTCACAATGTAACTCCTAGTAGAGACAGGCTCTCTACAATAAAATATTATCAGTTTCTTCATTAAAAGAAACTAGAAAAAATTTTCTCTCTCCCCATTATGTAAAGTAGTGTAAGGCTTACACTTAAGTTTAAAGTTGTATTTCAATGTAATGCCATGTCAAAAACTTTAATCAATGGAATCACAAGAAGTAAAGGCTAAAATGTACCAATATTTCTTAGGAGACAGGTGTTTGAGGAAACAAAACAAAGGGAAAACCCTCTAGTCTCAGGGGATACTATTCCTTTAAACTTGATACCAGCTAGGTATCTCTTTGGTCTAACTCTGAAAAGGTACAAATTACACACATCCCCACACTTTCAAAATATGCCAAAGGATTATTTATTAACACAGGACTTACAGATCACAAAAGAGAGTGGTACAGAAGAACTGGAAAATAAGTCACCAGAATAAGCATGCAGATCAGTATTTGCAGAGGAATATACTAAAGCAAATTCGAAGGCACATTCACACAGAAAATGTCTAAATTGAAAAAAAGACACCAGAAAAGCAGCCCCCAAAAAAGGTGCTAATTAAAATACAAAGATTTTCAATTTTAAAGAAGAGCTACTTTACAGGTAGGTAGGTCAGTAGCTACAGAAGTTTTGCTAACCCTTTGAGAATGTCACAAATGAGGTCAGCTCTTGCTGCCAACAAAACCAGATGACCTTAATGACTGCACATCAAGATGCTTCAGGGCCAGAGAGATTAAATTTAGTGGGGGGGGGGGAGGGGAAGCAGCCAAGTTGAAATTATATGCAGCAAGGGCACAAAGGGTTAAATGTAATAATATGCAGAGAAATCAGGCAATGTTATTAGTATTATCTACCTTCCATACAAAGAATTATAGCAAGAGTCAAAAGAGACAGTATCCCCTTCAGAGTTGAGTTAGGGTTTCTAAACAGGATTAAGGTCTACAGATAGTAATCTACTAGCTTTTATTTATTCTCTCTTCATCAGCTCACTTATTTCTCTAACAAGAAGTACCTTTAACCCTCAAACTAAAAAACAAGAGATACTGTGGTAAAAATAAATGAGGATAAAATAAAACCACAGCACACTGAAGAAGTCCCTGTCATTTGCCCCCCACAATACATTTATGCAGCAATTTTGCTCAACGGCACTACAGATCATTGGTGTGACATTAACCCCTTTTAACAACCGCTCTAAAGGGATACTGCTCCTTTGCGACGGGAGGTTTACAGATCAATGGGAGGAAACAATCTGCTTTTAAGAATATTCTCAAACGGAAGAGAGGTGGCTTGAACATTACAGTATCCAAGCTGGGAATGTTCCATACATACATAAAAGAACATGAGCACAGAAGATTATTTTAACAGGTCAGTAAGAACAACCTCAGTCAAAAAACCAACCTCCCCTCCCCAAATAAAATGAAGGGAAAAAAAGACACCCCAAACCTAGATTAGACTCATTTCATAAAGACATCTAGTTTGGCACTGTGAAAGAATATAGATTCACTTTCAGAAAAATAGTTTCTAATTCATAACTTCAGAGTCCAAAAGGCGAGTATATATGTTGTGAGATTTTTAAAGAAAAATCAAATATTGTTCAGAAAACAGCGCACTTTGCAACCAACTGCTGTGGCACAAGCATATCATACAAAAAAGGAAAAAAAATCACTCTATCAAACCAACAGCAGCAAAAAAATAAGAACATTTCTGAGGAAAAGTACAAGAAAAAGAAAGTAGACAGTCAAGGGCACAATGAGCTCTTCAGACCGCCCACTGCACTTGGAAAATACCTTAGCAAGTGGCAACATGACACACGTAATGTTTCACCAACTTGTTCCTGATTCAGTACCCTGTTTCAGAATACCTCCAATATTTCAATAACCAAAGGATGGATGCAATTGTGTTTTCTGACTTCAATTCAATATATGCAAAAGCTATAGTACTTTACAATTTCTGCCTGAATCTGTAAACTTGGAAGTGTCTTATGTGTCCCTCTCTAGTTAAACAAAACCAAACCCTTTATATGCATAATACATTTTCTAGAATAATACAGTATTACTGAGATATTTCTCATTATTAAAGGCCACAAAATAGGTTTACCTTTCTATATATATATCAAAAACAAAACAAAAATTAGGACACTTGGGAATCTAGTTTTCATGACAGGAAATTAGACTAAAGAATAAACTGCTACATGTAAATCCACATAGAATTTAAAGAGGACTCCCTAATAAGATGTTTTCAAACATTTTATCAGAAAGTTAGTAGTTACCCTATCTAGCATCTACATATTTGTTACAACTTAATATTTCCAGTAGTAGAGTTAACACTGAAAACAGTAGCCAGATTTCACTGACAACACATGCCCTCTTCTTTGCCAGACCCTGACAAAACAACCATACACAAACTCTTTCCCTCTTCTTCTCTTGAAGGGATGTGGCCAAATGCACTACAACTGGTTAGAAATTTTTACTTTCTCCACCTAACAAAAGTCCACTTCTGTAAATCAAACAGAATACTATATTGGCAGCTGTTAAATATAACCAAGAGAAGAAAAAAGGAGAGGGAAACACTGACTTTACTCACAGTAACGGAGGAAAACTGCTGACATTGCAAAAGTCTTTATAAAATTTCTGGCAATGTGGGGTTCATTTAGCAGTGGGTTTTTAGGTGTCTCTAACACCAAGCTGGTGTTAGATTTCAATAATAATAAAAATATTTTAGCTATCCAATCTAAGTTTCACAGTAGTCATAGTAATCATGTATCCAAGTATTCACAGAATCAAATTTCACACTGCTTTAAGGAGACTGGCAACAAAGACGTTCATTATTAGAAAGTAATAAAGGTAAAAGCCTTACTCTTATGTAAATCCACACCCACAGAATCATCTTTGAAATCTGCACCACCATCACCAGAGCAATCTCACCAATTCCTCACCTGCAGCAGGAGGATGCTGGCCACTAACTGTTGGTAAATCCAAAGAGCTATCAGACATGACATGCTTAAGATCTCCTCCCACATCAGCCAATTTCATGTCAAACTGAACAGAGAGTGCATCTTCAGAGTCCTCCTTGCCAACACTGCTGCCACCAATGGAAGGGAGATCCAAGGACTTCACCGAAGCAGAGTCTTCTTTGATGTGTCTGAAAGTCACTGCTTTCTCTCCCAGAGATTTGTCCGAGTTCATGGAAGAAAATTTACTGGAGTGAAAATCAGCAAAATCATCATCACTTTTTCCTGAAGGAGTGTTATCTTTCAGATCTTCAACACCTAGTCCAGATCCTTCCAGAGAAATTTGTTTGAAGACATCATACTTGGTAGATGGAGCAGCTGGGTTCTGTCCACTCTTCACTGTGCTGCCTATGTTGCTGGTCAAAGAAGCAGAACTAGTTTCCTCTTTAAGGGCATCATACTTGTCATCTGCCTTTTGCTCAGATGAAATAGAGCTGTTACTGAATGCCATAAAATCTGCAAAGTCATCCTGCTCCCCAGCAGACGCTAGACTAGAATATTCCCCAAAAAGATTGAATTCTCCAAAATCATCAGCCAAACTAGAAGTTTTAGTCGGTGCCAATGCTGTTGAAGCTGCAGCAGAACCTGTAGGCTGTGGGCGTGTGGAAACTGATTTTGCACTAAACGCAGCTGAAAAAGACAATGGTTTCTCACTGTTGCAATTAACTGAGGAAAACATATCTAGGTCCGCTAAGTTCAGAGGATTTTTCACTTGTGTTTGTTGTTTTTGTTGTATTGTTCCTGAGGGAAAGGATGTTGGGAAAGTTTTGTCTTTTGTTGGTGGCTCTAGTGGTGATATACCATCGGCTGTTTTAAAATCAGTGAAACCATCATCAGTTCCTGCAGATCTGAATTCTGCAAAGCTTTCTCCTGAAAGAAAAAAATACAACCAAACAAATAACACTAAACTGAAAACCACATACTGTAAAGCACATTAAATTGCAAGCTAATTTTATTGACTTTTCCCCACTGGTTTGACATTACTTGATCACAGTTTAAACCTTACATATTTGTTTCCACATTGAAGTTTAATGATACTTGAATAAACAGAAATCAAACTGAAAGTACCTAACATACCATTTTTATTTACTCATGCTTTTAGTGTGGCACCTCCCCTAGGTCCAGATCTTTCACCTGGCCAAAAACACTGCTCTCAAGACTTTCTTGTTCCTATAGTAGCCAGCCAAGTATACAACAAAATAAGAAATAGGTGCTTGTGGTTCCTGAAGAGAGGTATATTAAGATAGTAGCTCTTTGAAGGAAAAACATGCTATGTGGTTTAAAAAAAAAAAAATCAGAGGTACCAACGAATATTATGATAAATTCTGCATCTGATATTCAGGATATACAACACTTGGTTTAACTAGGCTCTTTGAGAATAACATTAGATACTATGTCATCTTGCTCAGGTAAATGGAAGAATTAATTTGAATGGAATATTGATGAGAATTTTTGAAAAGGTATCACTTATTTGTAAAGCATTCTGGCTAAAGACACATTTCAAAACAGCTCCTCCCCATACTCTAATAAGCTGAGTCTTATAGAAAAAAATCTGTGAGCACTTGGGTTTTTCTAGAAATCAGTCATCTCAGCTGGGCTCAGTGGCTCATGCTTGTAATCCCAGCACTTTGGAAGGCTGAGGTGAGAGGACTGCCTGAGCCCAGGGTTTCGAGACCAGTCTAGGAAACATAGTGAGACCTTGTCTCTACAAAAAATCGAAACATTAGCTGGGCATGGTGGTGAGCACCCATAGTCCCAGCTACCTGGGAGGCTGAGGCAGAAGGATTGCTTGAGCCTAGGAGGTCGAAGCAGTGATGAGCAGTGGCCAAGCCACTGCACTTCAGCCTGGGCAACAAAGTGAGACCTTGACTCAAAAAAGGAAAGAGTACAATGTCCACTTGTGTACCTAATCCTGAATTGTACCACACATCTTTAAAATAATATATATATATATATATATAAAATTACGGCCTGGCTCGGTGGCTCAGCCTGTAATCCCGTGCTTTGGGAGGCTGAGGTGAGTGAATTGCCTGAGCCTGCAGGTTCGAGACCCATCTGGGCAACTTGGAGAGACCTCATCTCTACAATAAATCAAATAAATAAAAATTAGCCGGGCGGGGTAGCATGCGCCTGTAGCTCCAGCTACTTGGAAGGCTGAGGCGGAAGGATCGCCGGAGCCTAGCAGGTTGAGGCTGCGGTGGCCGGGAGCGGCCATTGCACTACAGTCTGGGTGACAGAGTGAGACTCCAACTCAAAAAAAAAAAGAAATTAGCTATCTTGCTATACCAATGGGCACTTATTTATAAAAATTCAAAGGGATTTGAACAAATACCCACTCTATTATTTAAAGTTTTTGAAGATATGATTTAGATTTTAGTCTATATTGTGCCATTCTGAGGATGGGGAATTGACAGAATTGTTTATTAATTTATTTAAGACAAAGGGGAGAAGGTAAGAATTTATTTTTTGGTTAGAGAAAATAGGTAGGTACTTATATACTTCTCATAGATAATTTGATAGATTCAGTTTAAGGTATTGGTAAAAATCTGGAACCATGATTTTTTTCCCAATAGTTTTTGGGTACATGGCTGCATTGTATAGTGGTGAAAAAAGTCTGAGCTTTAAGTGTACCTTTCACCCCCACCTGTCTACACTGTACCTGGCAGGTGATTTTTCTTTTTAGGGGGCAGTCTCTAGGCTCTACCTTATTTATTTATTTACTCTCTTTTAATTTTTTTATTTTAAAGATGTGGGGTACAACTCAGGGTTAGGTATACAAATGTTCATCATGCAGGTACCCTTGTTCATGAGGTGTGTCCCCCCTCCTCCGACAGGTGACTTTTCATCCCAGCTCTCTCCTTCTCACTGTCCCCTTCTGAGTCTTCAATGTCCATTATGCCATTCTGTGTCTAGTCCATGATTCTTAAAAGGGTTTCTATTCTTTATTATCATACAATGTTAGGATGCAGATGATCTCAGTTTTCTAAGTCTGAAGATAGTCTGAAGATCTATAATCTTTGTAGGCTATACCAGGTGATAAAAACCAGAGATAAACCAAATATAAATTTAGCTGTAACATCCCAAGTCTAACAAAGGAAAATTTTAAAATATATATATACAGCTATGCCAACCAACATCACTTAATATTTTTTAAACAACTGTCATTTCTGAAGATTTATAAATTAAAATATAAGCCTTAATTTCCTCGCTTTTTTTTTTTTTTTTTTTTTGAGTCAGTGTCTCACTCTGTTATCCAGGCTGGAGTTCAGTGGCACGATCACGGCTTACCGCAGCCTTAAACCACTAGGCTCAGGCAATTCTTCCACTTCAGCCTCCCGAGTAGCTGGAACTATAGGCATGCCACCAACCTGGCTGATCTTTTGCCTTTTTGTGGAGATGAGGTCTCACTATGTTGCCTAAGCTGGTCTCAAACTCCTGGGCTCAAGTACTCCTTCTACCTCAACCTCCCAAAGTACTAGAATTACAGGCGTTTAGCCACCACACCCAGCCATTTTTTAACAAATCATATTTTTTCCCTAAAAATGAGATATAGAAGCATATAAACCATAAATATGTATTTAAAGCTAAAATCCAATTCTTAAAACTGTCATATAAAATAATACAGGCTTTAAATATATTGTGCTTGTATATGATATATATTTTGATGTAGCAGATGGAAAAAAGCACTCACAACAAAACAAGCTGATTTTTCCTCCTAATCTGAGACACTTAACTAATTCACAAGCATAATTCATCAACACAGGAAAATCCATCTAGGGAAATTTTTAGAAAGACAGAAACAGCATTCAGATTTCCTGTAATTTATATTTGTAAGATATACCACTAATAATACTAAAGTCAACTTCAGCCGAGCTTGGTGGCTCAGCCTGTAATCCCGTGCTTTGGGAGGTTGAGGTGAGTGGACTGCCTGAGCTCGTGGGTTTGAGACCCGCCTGGGCAACTTGGTGAGACCTCATCTCTACAATAAATAAAAAAATTAGCTGGGTGTGGTAGCACACGCTGCGATGGCCAGGAGCGGCCACTGCACTCCAGTCTGGGTGACAGAGTGAGACTCCAACTCAAAATAATAAAAATAAAAAATAAAGTTAATTTCACAAATTGATAGAAGTAGGTATAAAATTTTTAAAAAATACACTATACTTTTAGACAAATGTATCACCAATTATATTTGCATTATTTTTGTAAATGTAAAGGTGACAAGCAGCCAATTTTATCACAGCCTACATTTTTATTTATTTATTTATTTTAAGTTGGAGTCTCACTCTGTTGTCCAGGCTAGAGTGCAGTGACACACTCACAGCCACTGCTGCCTCGACCTACTGGGTTCAGGCGATCCTTCCACAGGCGTGCACCACCCTGCCCGGCTAATTTTTTGATTTATTGTAGAGACGAGGTCTTACCAAGTTGCCCGGGCTAGTCTTGAACCCCTGAGCTCAGGCAATCCTCTCACCTCGGCCTCCCAAAGTGCTGGGATTACAGGCTTGAGCCACCGCGCCCAGCTTATTTATTTATTTATTTATTTATTTATTTATTTGAGTCGAAGTCTCACTCTGTTGTCCAGGCTGGAGTACAGTGGCATGCTCATGGTCACCCCAGTGTCGACCTGCTGGGCTCTGACGATCTTTCTGCCTCAGTCTTCCAAGTAGCCAGAACTACAGACGTGTGCTATCACACCCAACTAATTTTTGATTTATTGTAGAGATGAGGTATCTCCAAGTTGCCCAGGTTGGTTGCGAACCCTCGGGCTCAGGCAATTCACTTGCCTCAGCCTCCCAAAGTGCTGGGATTATAGGCTGAGCCACCAGGACACAGCCTACATTTTTAATGTTCTGCTTTAACATATCTGTGAAATTGACAAGTTTAACTTTGTAATTTAAAAAAAGAATTACCACAACAAACTAAACTTACTGATGAATCATAAACTTTTCCATTAGAAATGAAAGCTGGGTGAAAGGGTTAAAAGGAAATCAAAATGGATGGGTTTACAAGTTCAAAAACAAGGAGAATTTTATGGCAAATAAATTTGTTGCAGTCATTGGAAGCTTACCTATCAGAAGGCATATTAATAATATTATTTTATGGGTAGCTTTTTAATTAACTTCTAAATTCTCATAGGTTTCCCTGTCATTTTTAGACACTAGAAGTCTCAAAACTAGAAGTTTTGCTAAAACTTTAATAAATGTGTCACTTCTTTAGTTGAGTTAGAAATAAGGAAATAAGGAAATATTATCAAACTTTGTCACTCAGTAACCCAAGAAGCCCACAGCTCTGAACATAATACTATAAGATTCTTGGTAAATTCTAAGATACTAACATGCTTTGATAAAGTCAAGTCAGAGTTGCTTTTTTTTTGTTGTTGTTGTTTGTTTGTTTGTTTTTGAGTCGAACTCTCACTCTGTCGACCAGCCTAGGGTTTAGTGGTATGCTCATGGCAACTGCAGCCTCTACCTGCTGGGCTCAGGTGATCAGCCTTCCAAGTGGCTAGAACTACAGGCATGTGCCAACAACGCCCAGCTAATTTTTTTATTTATTGTAGAGACGAGGTCTCGCCAAGTTGCCCAGTCCTCTTGCCTCTGCCACCTGAAGTGCTGGGATTAAAGGCGTGAGCCTCCATGCCCAGTTTTTTTTTTCTTTAAGTTGACTTTTTAATATAGAGACAGGGTCTAACTCTGTTGCCCGGGCTGGTGTTGAACTCCTGACTCCAAGTGATCCTCTTGTCTTGGGCTCCAAGGTGCTGGGATTATAGGGGCGAGCTACTGCACCTGGTTCAATGTATTATTAATGAATATAAAAAATAAGACATATTCTCCTAAAACCAAGTTGGCAACTCAACTTGGAAGACCTTAGAATTAAAGTTAAGACAGGAATGAAAGCAAACAAATGAAAATGACAAGCTGGGACTTCATCAAAGTACTAAAAAAGCAGGACTAAGGTACTGCTTACATTTTGGTGGCACTATTTTCTTTTTTTTTTTTTTTTGAGTTGGAGTCTTACTCTGTTGCGCAGACTGGAGTGCAGTGGCTGCTCCCGGCCACCGCAGCCTCGACCTGCTGGGCTCCGGTGATCCTTCCGCCTCAGCCTTCCACCTCAGCCTTCCCAGTAGCCGGAATTACAGGCACGCGCTACCACGCCCAGCTGATTTTTTGATTTTATTGTAGAGATGAGGTCTTGCCTGCCCAGGCGGGTCTCGAACCCCCGGGCTCAGGCAATCCACTCACCTTAGCCTCCCAAAGGCGCGGGATTATAGGCTTAGCCACCTAGCCCGGCTATTTTCTTTTTATAGAAATAACATTCGTGACCCGCCTGGGCAACTTGGTGAGACCTCATCTCTACAATAAATCAAAAAAATTAGCCGGGCATGGTTGTGCGTACCTGTAGTTCCAGCTACTTGGAAGGCTGAGGTGGAAAGATCACTGGAGCCCAGCAGGTTGAGGCTGCGGTGGCCGGGAGCGGCCACTGCACTCCAGTCTGGGTGACAGAGTAAGACTCCAACTCAAAAAAAAAAAAGAAATAACATATATATCATAATCGTATATCATAACATATATCATAATGCTATATTACACAAAGAACCCGGATAGTATATCATGGGTTTTTTTTTTTACTCCAAACTTGTCTTAACCCAAGTGTTGATGAAAGCATTGCTAGGTGTAAATGGAAACCTCACAAGTCAAGGGTTTATGTTTGAACTCCTAGAGTCAGAAACAGGTATAACTATTACATCCTAAAAGCCTGAATAAAATACAGAGAAACATTTCTAGGACCTAAGATCTATAAGGGACTGAATATCCTTGTACAAGGTGGGCTTCCCTTTTAGAGATGTTTAAGCAGTATATTTTCTACCATACTTACCTTACTTATTCTCCCTCACCCCAAGCAGAAGGGTGGAAATAAGTGATTGTTGAAGGATGTCCCAAATTTGAGCATTTAGTACATAAAGGTAGAATGTGATATTGTTCCCAGAAGGAAATCCTCAGAGTATACACATTTCATAGCATGCACAGTTAAGCTTTAGAGGACATAATTTGACCTATGAATTATCTAAACCTTACACATCATGTTTATGGTAGGATTTAACCACAAAAATCACTTTTGATTTTTATATATATGGCTTTCAAATTATCATTCTATATTCCCTTTCACTCTAAGTTCTTCTGTCAGCGATGGTAACCACACATATATATAATCTCCTCTCCATCGGGGTGTGTGTGTGTGTGTGTGTGTGTGTGTGTGTAGGAGTTTCACTCTCCTCTCCATCGGGGTGTGTGTGTGTGTGTGTGTGTGTGTGTGTGTGTGTGTGTGTGTGTGTGTGTAGGAGTTTCACTCTGTTGCCCAGACTGAAGTACAGTAGCACATCACGATTCACCAAGCCTCAAACTCTTGGGCTCAGGTGATCCTTCTGTCTCAGCCTTCTGAGCAGCTGGGATTACAGGCACATGCCACTATGCCAGGCTACTCTTTAAATTTTTTTGTGGAGATGGGTCTCACTATGTTGCCCAGTCTGGTTTCAAACTCCTACCCTCAAACAATCTTCCTGGCTTGGCATCCCAAAGTGATGGGATTACACGTGTGAGCCACTGATCACTCTCCATTTTTCTCATTAAATTATAGCCAGTCTTGAAAATCTGGTAAAGTGATTGAGTTGAACATAAGCAAATTAAAGTAACTGATCTTCCCTTCTTAACGGATGAGTAAATAGATAATTACATACTGATGTCAGCATCCTTGAACATATCAAGTGATATGGCTATTACTTCTGTTTAAATGATGTTGTGGCCTGAAGTGCTATTTGGCATCTTTTCTTTCATGGAGCTCTCATATTCAAACCTGAAGATTAGATTGAGTTTTGCTGACCTCCACTTGGCCATCTTTGTAAAAATCCAATGTTTTGTTTGTTTGTTTTTTAATGATTTTTAGCTGATGCTCATGAAGAGAAGGGAGTACCTATAACTGTGCTACTAAAGAAAGGAAATCTTGTCTAAGAAGGTACATTTCTTTATTAGAGCTGTGTCAAACTCTCCTTTGGGCTCTCTGCTGGAAAAGTAGAATCAAGCCTCATATAATACCTTTTTAATTGTATTCTCTAGCATTATAGATGAAAGACAGTACTGTATCATATCTCTGTGAATGTAAAATATCTTGTATCTGCTTTATGATATACAGTAGGAACTGTACCTTATCAGAACTGTTTTTAAATGTTATTCTACAATGTTTTATTTCCAGACCATGAAAGAGAAGCCAAAAAAAAGAAATGGTACCAGGTACCACACCACTAATGAAAAAAGAATCTTGAAAAGTAAAAGAATAGTTGCTGCCTTTTGCAGTCCACAGATGGCTGCACTAGGATTAGTTTAAGTCTAGTTGAACATGACAAAAAGTAAAAGTAACCACAGCTTTCAACAGTCTTGTCTAACTTGACTTTCAGGCTTCCAGTGAAAGGGAATATACTACCTCCAGAGAAAATTGCACTGATTTGCAATTTACCCTACATTTAGAAAATAATTCCCAATAACTGAACCACATTTGGGTCCTTGTTATTTCCAGTCATAAGAAGTTAGCTATTATTGTATTATTTCTCTTCTACAAGGTAATCCCCCACCTAGTGCCTCTCACAATATTTATTAAACATAGTAGCTACCAAGTAATGTTTTTTGATTAGAATATTTGCAGTTTAGTCGGGCTCGGTGACTCAGCCTGTAATCCCGCACCTTTGGGAGGCTGAGGAGAGTGGATTGCCTGAGCCCGCGGGTTCGAGACCCGCCTGGGCAGCGAGACCTCATCTCTACAATAAATCAAAAAATCAGCCAGGCATGGTAGCGCATGCTTGTAATTCTGGCTACTCAGAAGGCTGAGGCGGAAGGATCGCTGGAGCCCAGCAGGTCGAGGCTGCGATGGCCGGGAGTGGCCACTGCACTCCAGTCTGGGCGACAGAGTGAGACTCCAACTCAAAAAAAATAAAATAAAAGAATATTTGCAGTTTGAATATCTATCATACAAATCAATATTATACCATATATAATATACACATTTTTTTTAATGAGACAGAGTTCCACTCTGTTACCCAGGCTGGAGTGCAGCAGCATGATCACTGCTCACCATGGCCTTGAACTCCTGAGCTCAAACAATCCTCTTGAGTGGCAGAGACTACAGGCATATACCGCCATGCTGGCTAATGTTGCTATTTTTTGCAGAGATGGAGTTCTCACTTTGTTACCCAGGGCTTGTCTCAAACTCCTGGCCTCAAGTGATCCTCCCGCCTCGGCCTTACAAAGTACTAGGATTAGAGGAATGAGCCACCATGCCTGGCCAATTATACCATATTGTTTCACCCGTTCAGGAATGCCACTGAAGGAACTATCAAAAATTCCTTTTATTAAAAATGAAAGGCCGGTGCAGTGGTTCATGCCTGTAATCTTAGCACTTTGGAAGGCAAAGGCAGGAAGATTGCTTGAGGCCAGGAATTCAGGAGTTTAAAAATAGCCTGGATAACACAGTAAGACTCTGGATCTTTAAAAAAAAAAAAAGATTAGCTGTGGTGGCATGAACTTATAGACCCAGTTACACAGGAGGCTAGGACAGGAGGATCACTTGAACCCCAGGAGTTTGAGGCTGCAGTAAGCTATGATCATACCACTGTGCTCTAGGCTGGGTGACAGAACAAGACCTTGTCTCTACAAAAAAAATCACTTGAGCACATAAGGTCGAGATTACAGTAAGCCATGATCATGCCATAGCCTGGGCAACAGAGCAAGACTCATTAAAATAAATAAATAAATAAATAAATAAATAAATAAGCCAGTACCAGTACAGTGGCTAACGCCAGTAATCCCAGCATTTTGAGAGGAGGAGGTAAGAGGATTGCCTGAGTCCAGGGGTTCAAGACCAGCCTGGGCAACTTGGCAAGATCTTGTCTCTACAAAAAATTTTTTTAAAAAATGGCTGGGCACAGTGACGCACGCCTGTAGTTCCAGCTACCTGGTAAGCTGAGGTGGAAGCATCACCTAAGCCCAGCAGATTGAGACTGTGGTGGCTGTGAGTATGCCACTGCACTCCAGCCTGGGCAGCAGAGTGAGACTCTGACTCAAAAAAATAAAAATAAAAAATAAAAATGGGCCAAGCACAGTGGTATGCACCTGTAATCCCAACACTCTGGGAGGTTGAGGTGAGAGTAAAGCCAGGAATTCCAGAACAGTATGAGCAACGTATAGTTAAGATAAAATTTTATGTATAAAATGTTGTTGAAGCCAAGATATAAATTGTTCTTCTTTTAATCATACTGCATTGCGAGACCCAGCCTCTACAAAAAGATAAATAATAATAAAATGGAAATAATTTATCCATTTAAGGAACCTAAAACTTACCTAAAGGTTTATTCTCTGCTGTCTGTTCAAGTTCTCTGAAAGCACTATATTTATCACCAGGCTCTATGATAGAAAGACACAGACTCAATTAAGATTAGGAACCTTGAAATCACAGCTCAAAAAAGACAGATTGGGTTAATCCAACACACTTAACATGTGGTATAAGCATTTTACACATTTAACATAAAAGACCACCCTTAAAGATTCATACAGCTTAATTGTTTTATAATTTAACATTCACAGGTTTATTAATCTACCAACTGTTTTTACCTCCAAGTTGAACAGTATTTTCAGAGGACTTGTCAGCTGCAATTCCTTTAAACACAGCATATTTATCCACTGAAGCCAATGCCTTAGTTCCAGGAAGTGGCATCAACAAAGAATGGGCACTAAAAAGGGAAAAAGAATATATCATATTGACCACAACATTGGATCCTTTCCTTATCATTAAACAGGAGCTTAGAATCAAAATGGCAAATGGGTATCTAGCTAAAACTTACGGCTTTCTGCTTTATAAAAGTTAGAAATAATATATATGTATACACACATACACACACACACACTCCCCACAAATGGTTAAAAACAATGTCCCATTCCTTAAAAAAAATTAAAACACCAAAGCAATAATTTTTTTTCCTTGATTAAATGAAGAGGGGTCATCAGATCTACACTGTCTAGTATCTAGTAATAATTGGAATGGCTTTGGAAGTGGATTAGTAAAGAATGATGACCTCCTGCAATTTTAACTTAAAATCTATAAAACTGCAAAAGTGAACTGTTCCAAATATGTGCACCCAGTATTTTAAAATAAATTATATTAACCATAATAGAAACCATTCTCTCAAATTGGTTCAGAGTGCAGAGATGGAATAGTTAAGATAAAATTTTTTGTATAAAATGTTGTTGAAGCCAAGATGTAAATTGTTCTTCTTTTGATCATACTGCATTGCTTACTGGCAGAAGTTCATACATCTGATAAGCAGCAGTAGAGTTCATACAATTTGCATTTTTACAAGGATCACATCAGCAGTTCCAGAAGCTATCTTGGTAGCAAAACAACAATCACTTCAAAATTAGATAAAGATACTTTTGCTTGTGGACATATTTCTTGCTGGATGGAAAAATAGCATAATGAGTAGTATCTGTGTGGGTAATTCTTGGAAGGCTTAAACACATATTATAAAAGCATTGCTTTTTTTTTCTTCTTCCCTTATCAGACCCAGGCAGCTCCTTGGGAGAACAACCTTTACATATGAATGACTACATTCCACTACTAGTTTGTGTCATTCAATACCATACACACAAGTTATATAAATGGATTTCTATTGAGTTCTCTGCCCTAGAGCAAAAATCTTTCCATAGTCATTTAAATCTTCTTATCAGTGGCCTACAAGGGAGGTAAAAGCCAGGCTCCAGCCCCTGCATGCTAATGGAGTCCACCGTGCTTTAGGACCTAATGCCATCAAATATTATAATTTCATATCACCATCAAACAACTGCTACATATCTGATCTTAATAAATGTCATAGGTCATCATCTATACGTTATAGGCTGATTTTCTAAGATTCCATAAGTATAGTACAGCTCACTGTACCAGATGTTATATAGGAATAAAAGTAATTAGCATCTTAGAAAAAGCCACAAAGTTGAATATCTATTTGTTTTTCATGATTCTCAGACTTTAGCTATGGTTTTTTAAAGCTCATTGGCAAAATCTTTCTACTAAATGTGACATTTAATTGATTATGAATTTTAAAATTATATTCACAGAATTGGAAAACAAAATAGAGGCTCTTCAGCGTAATGAAGTACTGCTAATTAAAGTCAACAACATAAAATTCCATTTTAAAAAAAAGCTATTACTCAGACTGTAATTTTATGCAAACTGCCAATGAATATTTCATTTCAGTTCTTTCTTTGATTATTTAAAAAAAAAAAACCACTGTAATCACCATGAAAGTGTTTATACCAGTTACATATAGTAGTTATTGTCTTTCCAAACATGAAAACAGTTATTACTATCCTTTAATACTAACAAAATTACTCAAGTAAGAGAGGTATATTGATTTTAGTTTAAGAGCTAGCTTTCTACTGAAAGGTAGGTCTTTAAGAATTTGGCCACCAAAAAAGTATTTTGCTTTTTCCTAGTGAATTCATTAATGTTTTACAATCACTTCATGTGGTTGTGGTAGATTGTTTTATTTAGTTGCTCATCCTGCTAAATACATTTTTTAAAATATTTTAATCTCAGCAAAATTAAAAAAAAAATAACCAAACTCCTATACTTTAACCCTTTGTGAACCTTTCTATCACCCATGTCCTATGTCTGCTTTGTTGGCTATACGAGGCTCCTCAGTGCCTGGCACATAATAAGAATTTTCTGAATGAACGACTGGGTCATGTTGCTATCTTCCGGATCCCTTTAGGCCTTAGGAGCAAGCTCAATTGTCATTTCTTCTTTGACTTTGACATTCAGTCTGACACCGAGTCTAACTGACTTCTCAGATATAAACTGCTCAATGTCTTTAACTGTGAAACCTGAGTAATTGTCATCATCTCACAACAGGATTACCACGGCAACTGAATTTATCCCACACACAATAGCAAGAATCACTTTCATCATGCCACTTCTTATTCCCAAAATGCTTTATAGATTGTGTCATAAATCATAAGGCATCCCACAACTGATGCGTCCCTAACTAATGTCATTTTCTCACAAACTAACAATGTTCCCCACCCTCACCTATTCCTAATGCCTTACTCGTCTTTTCATCTCCTCTGACAAATAATGCTCATTTTCTGGTTAAAAATACTGCCTAAAGTGGTCTTGCCTAGGATTAGCTATTCATATCAAGATTTAATAAATCTCTTTTTAAAATAAACTAACAATATGGAATGCAGATTATCATAAACTAGGGAATTCCTTTTATATACACATCTAAGGACTAATCCTAAGAGAACTTACCAGATAATTTAAATAGCCAGATAGAGCTAAGTGTATTTAGAGCAGTAACTATAATTTTGCTTCTGTATTTCTCATGCCTATATCAGTGTCTGGCATATAGCAAATGTTAAATAAATGTTTGCTCAATGAATAAATAAACAATGAGTATGAATTCTTAGTATAAGCAAATCATGTTCATTCAAGGAAAGAATGGAAGAAGTCAAGTTAGAACTGTACATACAAGGAACATCTGCAAAATATGGATTTAAATGAAAGTAAACTATTGTATGGAGATGATATCACACAAAATTGTTAATATATCATATATCTCAGGGCTGGCCACCATCTTAAAACTTTCTATTCTCAAATTTTAATTTCACTTAGTGAGAGAACTTTTGCCCAGATGAGTGAACCACCAGGTTTATAATACATGTACTATAATTTATTCATCCAACAATCCGTATTAATTACATATTACGGGCTAAGCACTACGTGTATAAACATGAAAGACTTTCCTCCGACATAGACCAGTAAGTATAATTAGGACACAGATATTCATAAGGTACTATGGAAACAGAAAAGGAAAGGCCCTTAACTCATCTTAGAGGTGGGAATTTCTGGAAAGGGTTAGGAAAAACTTCATATATATATATATATATATAGTGGTGCCAAAAAAATGTATACACATTTTAAGAAATGTCTGCCTGTTACTTTTAGTCTGTTATATTCAGAAACATCTGGATGCTGATGGTAATCACTTTGAACACCTATCATAATTTCATAATTGCAGAATAACATAACCTGCATTCATCTTTTGTTACCAGTATATACTGAATATTATAATTTTAATACAGTTTTCTCCTTTCTTAAAATGTGTATAAAATGTGTATACATTTTTTGGCTGTGTGTGTGTGTGTGTGTGTGTGTGTGTGTGTGTGTGTGTGAGTTAGTCTTATTCTGTTGTCCAAGCTGGAGTGCGGTGGCATGCTCATGGCCACTGCAGCTGGGGTGAGGCAATCCTTCCAACTCAGCCTCCTGAGTAGCTAGGACTACAGGCGTGTGCCACCATGCCTGGCTAATTTTCTTTTGGATTTGTTGTAGAGATGAGGTCTCACCAAGTTGCCCGGGGTGGCCTTGAACCCCGAGGATTAGGCAGTCCTCTCACCTCCACCTCCCAAAGTGCTGGAATAACAGACATGAGCGACCACTCCCAGTCAACTTCCTATATTTAGCTGATTTTTGAGACAGAATAAGAGCTAATTATAGAGGGAACAGATAAGGTTATTTCAGATGGGAGAAAACTGAATGTTTTTCTTCAACTGAGCCTGAATGAGCACGGTCAGTTTGGAGTTATTTTGGCATGGCCGGATTTAAGCTGTGGGAAAACGGCACGAGTTGAGAGAGTGGGCAGGAACAGGATTACACACACCAAACAATGGTGACAGAATTAATGACGGTAAAGGAGAGAGGATGGAGCTAAAAATAAATAATAAATGTTTTTAGTTTTGTGACTGGATATGGTGACACTAAGAAGGAAACAATGATTTTGAGACCTTTCATTTGGCTTTGAGTAGGAGAACAATAAATTAAATTTTATGCAGTGAATTTGAGATATCTTGAATCGTTCAGATAGGGATGCTTAGATAGCAGTAGTACATATAAGTGTTGTTCAAACTAAGACATCTGGAATAGAAATATGATTATGTGTCTATAAGGTTGACAATATATATGTGGGTATAGCAGTCTTGAAAATTCCAGTTATCTATAGTCACATTCCTCATATGCTTCTTCTATTTGTTACGCACATGTGTTTGACATATTTTCAATAAGGAGAATAATTCAATAAGGAAAATAATCAATAAGGAGAATAATTCAATAAGGAGAATAATCTCTTTTCCTAATTTATAATTCTCTATAATGCCTAGCCCTTAGTTCTTGTTACAGTGAGTATGCAGTGTTTGACTGAGAGCTCATCAATTGGCTAAAAGGGAAGAGATGAGGGACACTGCATAAACAGGAACATAAAAGAAATGGATTATGTATTCTGATAAAAACAAATTCAAAAAATAAAACCAAAAGAATTCATATTGCTTACTCTGGTGTCTGGTGTGTTCCACTCTGTAGAAGAAGCATCTAAATATGTTTTTTAAATGAGATGGGGCCAGGAGTGGTGGCTCGTGCCTGTAATTCCAGCACTTTGAGAGGCCAAGGTGAGAGGACTGCCTGAGTCCAGGGTTCGAAACCAACCTGGGCAACTTGGCAAGACCTCATTCTCTACAATAAATCAAAAAAATTAGCTGGGCATGCATGGTGTGTGCCTGGGGTTCCAGCAACTTGGAAGGCTGAGGATCGTCTGAGCCCAGCAGCTCCAGGCTGCGGTGGCTATGAGCATGCCACTGCACTGCAGCCTGTACGACAAGAGTGAGACTCCGACTCAAAAAATAAAATAAAATAAAATCAGTGAGATAGAAAGGTGTTGACAACATACTGACTGATTCAGTTACCATACCCAAAGGTTAAGCTAGTACATAAAACATTAGAGAAATGCTTATGTAACTGTCTATGCAAACAAACAGAAATCTGAAGGTGTAATAGCCATTGATGTCAAATATAAGAGAGATATGAATAAATATGGTTATTCAGAGTTCTGAATTATGTGGAAAAGCAACAGTACATTATATTATGAAAATACAAAATTATACACCTCTGCCAAAAAACTTTTCAACAATTGAAGACCTGACTCTAATAAGAATGTTAAGTCATTACTACACAGGTGCACTTAGCTATAAGGAACAGTAGGAGCTAAAGTTTAAGGTGAACAAAGAGGAGAGAAGTTTAAAGAGTAAAACTATGAATAAGAGGGAATATTCACTGGGCGCAGTGGCTCATACTTGTAATCCCAGCACTTTGAGATGCTGAGGTGGGAGATTGCTTCAGCCTAGGGGTTCGAGACCAGCCTGGGCAACATACCAAGACCCCATCTCTACAAAAAAAAAAAAAATTAGCCAGGTATGGTAGTGTGCACCTGTATCAAGTGATCCTTCTATCTCAGAAGGCTGAGATAGAAGGATCACTTGAGCCCAGAAGGTCACAGCTGTAGTGAGTCACTTACACTCCAGCCTGGGAGACAAGTGAGATCCTGTCTCAAAAAAAAAAAAAAAAAAGAGGAATAATCAAGGAAGGTATTAGACTAAGGAGTCTTAATTTTTTAATTTCTCTTAGTTATACTTAGCCTTCTTATTGTGGATGCCTCTTTCTTAACAATTAAATTAAACTCTTTTCTACCTGTTTCCATGCTGGGAATTATTTGTTTTTGAAGAAGCAGGCAACTCTTGGAAATCACTGAATGAGTCATCAAGAGATCCTGACTTAGAAGCATCTTGAAAATCCTGGAAGTCATCTTCTTCTGGTTTTACTACCTAGGTTTATAGAGAATATTTAAATACAAAGCATCAATTGATAAAATAAAAAAGTAAACAACAAATCTCCAACCATCAACCTCAAAGACTGCCTTTTACATTTCTTAACACAGGTACAACTAACTAATTTTAGGAGAATGCCCTTTAGATATAACATCAACTCAAATGCTTAAGGCAGGAATCTTGTTTTGTATTTTTAGATACTCTCTGGTACAAATTTAAAGAACTAATCCATACATTTATAAAATAGTTGAATTACATTCACCAGGCTACTGAAAGTATGCCATCTTCAAAAAATATTTTATGCATGTTTGTAAATTACAAAAGTAATACAAACTCATCATAACCAATCAAATACATGTACAAAGTAGACAGTGAACACTGACTCCGTATGCCAAAAGGTAATTATATAACATACATATCTTTCCATGCAGTATATGTAGATCCATCTCATTCATTTTAATGATTAGGTTACCACTGTATGGATGAATTGAAACTTATTTAACCTTTCTTCTTCTGATGGACATTTTGCTATTTCTTCTACTTTTACTCTAACAAATAATGTTACAACAAATATTCTTGGATATCTTTGCTAATTTGAGTCACTATTTCTGTGGGATACATTCCTAACAGTACGGCTGCTAGGTCAAAAGATATGGACATGTAGAATTTTAAAGTTATTGCCAAGCCTACCTAACAAAAAGGTTGTACCAATGAACCTACAACATATTATTTACTTTTCCCCTACATTTTCATTGACACTAAATATACATTTAAAAGTTTTTTTGCAGGCCAGGTGCAGTGGCTCAAGCTTGTAATCTCAGCACTTTGGGAGGCTGTGGAGAGAGGACTGTCTGAGATCAGGGGTTCAAGACCAGCCTGGGCAACTTGGCAAGACCTCATCTCTACAATAAATCAAAACATTAGCCGGGCATGGTGGCGCATGCCTGTAGTTCCAGCTACTTGGAAGGCTGAGAGGGAAGGATCACCCAAGCCCAGCAGGTCAAGGATGCAATGGCTGTGAGCATGCCACAGCCTGGGTGACAGAGTGAGACTCCAACTCAAAAAAAAAAAAATATTTTTTTACTACTCTGAGAAGTGACAAACTGAAGTATTTTAATTTCAAGTTTGGGGCTGGGCTTGGTGATTCAGCCTGTAATCATGGCACTTTGAGAGGCGAAGGCAAGAGGATTGCCAGAGCCCACAGGTTCAAGACCAGCCCAGGCAACTTGGCAAAACCCTCGTCTCTATAATAAATTAAAAATAAAAATTAGGCTGAGGTGGAAGGATCACCTGAACTCAGCAGGTAGAGGCTGCGGTGCCCGTGAGTATGCCACTGCACTCCAGCCTGGGCACCAGTGAGACTCCAACTCAAAATAAATAAATAAATAAATAAATAAATTCAAGTTTAGAAGTATTCTCAGAAGATGTAAATTAAGAATTTAGCTAACCTTATTAGGTTTTATATTTAAAATGAATGTACTATAAAGAACTATACATTTTCAGCTAAATTCAAATAGCTTAAGGCTTAAGAAATATCTTCATGTTTTTTAAATAATGGAAATGTAAATTTTATATTGTTCTAACACTGTCTAATTCTAACTTTAAGTGTTAACTGTAATCCAGCAACCTTCTTTATGTATCTTATGTATCTCAGATTCACTTTCAGGGATTATTTGAAAGATGCATAACTTCTCCATTTACCTGATTTGCAGGGTAAGTTGGCATGAAGCCACTAGAAGTCTGGGCTGCAGCTCCACCCACTGGTCCAACAAGGTTAATGCCCATGACTGGCTGTCCGAGGCTGAGGGGCATGGAGCCTGCTGGGCCTGAAGGTATCACAGTTGGCTGACTCACTGAGGTAGGCAGAGTCATAGGAAAGCCACTTAAAGTTGGAATAGGAGCTGCCGGGAACTGGTTTAAAGCATCAGGACTCATGGCAGAAACACCCCTCTATAAAGAACAAAAGGAAAATGAAGTCACATACAATTTAAGTCTGGCAAAGAAAGACCTAAAGGTAAAATCTGTGGCCTTCATATGTTTCCACTCTGACTCTCCTAAAACTCATGAATTTGATATAAGAGAAAATAAAGTTATAAGGTTAATACAAACCTAATGCTTAGCAAAGAAATGGGCAACACATATCAATTCTGATATTTTCTGACAAGTTTGGTTAATTTGCTATGATCAAATCATTTAAAATAACTTTGCAATATAAAAAAATTGCTACTAGACTGAGAATACTTTATCTGTATCTAAGGAATTTTAAACAAGGACTTAAAATGATAGAGAGTAATTTCACCTATTATTGACTAACTTTCAAATTTGGAAGGAATACAGCCAGGTCAAAGAATCTTAATGTATTAACAGTCTTTAAACAAAGAAATAATTTGTTAGTATGCACATCACATAAACTGTCAATTTTTGAAGTACTGTATCCTGAAAATGTTCTAAAGTTTAATGTACAAGGAGTTCTACAATGTAGCAAAAAATTTTTCATATTCTTTCCATTTATATTAATTAAGTTATTTGATCTAACTTAATAAACATTGTCTACCTGTGTTACTGCAATCATGGCGAGAACTGTATAAAGTTCTTCCTTAGTAAGTTTGCCAGGTGTAGTTCGATTAGCTAAGGCCCATATCTGTCCAAGAGTTTCCCTGGGAAGTCCAGATGACATCAGAATGGGATAAAGTTTAGCAGTATCTATTCCAGTTGGAGTCATTGTGGTTTCTAAAATTTTCTTATAGGCATCTATTAAAGGAAAGACCAGATTACAAATGCAAACACATTACAAGTGATTCATCTTTTCTGGTGTCACTGTTGGTATACAAGAATAATCTTAAATCATACTGCTTTAACAGAACTGAAACCATATCAGGGTCTAAACTACTATAAAGACATTCAGATGGAAATATCCAGCAGACAATTAGGGTCAGGAGCTTAGATAATAGATTGTAGCTTGTTGTTAAAGATGAAAATTTAGGGCTAAAGGTAAGATAAAGTCTTATAATTTAGTAGAAGATTTAACAACAGGATGGAGGTGACTTAAAAATGCTTTGGACTTTGAAAGAGAAGTTGTAAAGTAATGATCGTGCGAGCAGTTTGAAAATAGTAACAAGCAGCAAGAATTATACCAATACCACTCTTCTCCTGACCCAGTGAATTAGAGGCTGTGAGAGAAAACACCGTTGGAAGAGGGGCTATGGAATACAGCTTCAAAGAAAGACCTATTCAGTTAAGATGAGGAAACAGAACAAGTATTTGAAAAAAGGAAGGTACTGTTGGTGAGTTTTTCATAACATGAGTTTTCCAAAGGACAAAGTGAGAAAGGATGTTAGAGACAGGGTTACCATATAAAATAAAGAATGCCAATATTGCACAGGACATACTCATAGTAAACAATTATTTGCTGTTTATCCAAAAGTTCAATTCAACCGGGCATCCTGTGTGGTTACTTGTTAATCTGGCAAGCCTCGTTAGAGAAGTTGCTGGGAATGAAAGTAAATAGGGCTTAGGGAGACAGACAAAAATGTTTAAAACAAAAATCTTACAATTGTAATCCAGTTGTAGATTACAAATATGGATTACAGGCTAATAGACTGACCATAAGAACACATATGCATGCACGTATATTTGGAAGGAAGAGGGAGAAAGAAATGCAAAGTGGCAGAAAGTGAATAAAACTCCAAAATATACCAAGATCTAGATGTTGATTCTTTGTTTGGCTTGGGGACAGAGAAGAAGAGGAAAAGATGCAAAGTATCTAATGGGCAATAGAAGAAAATTTTTTTTTATGTACAACTGAAGTCCTATGTGGTTTTGGTAATAATAGCCTTTCAATTTGTGATTATGAGTAGTACCACAAAATATACTTTAGTGATTTTTTTTGACTCAACGGTAATAATATATAAAAGGAAACACTATCTTCCAACATAGAAAAAGATGTCATGTGGTCTTTAAGTTTCTCATGACAAGTCATAAAAAAGAATATTTAAAATATATAGCCTAATTTTTAAAAATTCATACTATGTTTAATATTACTATAATTATTGATAATCTATGAAATAAATATCTGATAATGTTTTTCAAAGCATGATAAATCTAAGAAAGTTTTTAGAAGTAAAAGTATATGATGGTCAATAAAATATTAAAGCAAACATTTCTCCTATATTTATATAGTTTATTCCATATATGAGTCAGTCTTAAGAAATACTACATCTGCCAGGCACAGTGGCTCATGCCTGTAATTCCAGCACTTTGAGAGGCAGAGGTGAGAAGATTATTGCCTGAGTCCAGGGGTTCAACCAGCCTGGGCAAGTTGGCAAGACCTCATCTCTACAATAAATCAAAAAATTAGCAGGGTATGGTGGCACTCACCTGTGGTTCCAGCTACTTGGAAGGCTGAGGTGGAAGAATACCTGAGCCTAGAATGTCGAGGCTGTGGTGGCTGTGAGCATGCCACTGCACTCCAGCCTGGGTGACAGCTAGACTCTGACTCAAAAAAAAAATACATCTATTTAATTTCTCTTTAAGAAAAAAAAGAGAAAAGTGATAATTCCTTCTGTATATTTTGTAACAACAATAAATATTTACAACTACATCTTGGGCAAAGAAGCTTTTTTACCTGGAACCAAACTCTCATTGTAAATCCAAAGAGGCATTCTGGGCTGAACAGGATCCTGTGAGGGAAATACTCCCACACCTAGAAGATAAGAACACCAATATATGTAATGGTCCATTGAGAAGATGAGGAAATCACACTGAGTCATGGTTTTTTATAAAGAGGAGCACTAGCAGGAGACACTTTAAAAAAGTCACCAATACAACTAAAAGATCTGGTTTGGTTTCCCCCCATCCTTGATTCAGAAGGAAGTATTTGGTTTCTTCTTTCTTGTTTTGAGTTGGAGTCTTACTCTGTCACCCAGGCTGGAGTGCTGTGGCACACTCATGTACCCGGTGTCAACCTACTGAGCTCTGGCAATCCTTCAGTCTCAGCCTTCCAAGTAGCCGAAATTGCAGGCGCATGCTACCACGACCAGCTAATTTTGGATTTATTATAGAGACAAGGTCTCGCCAAGTTGCCCAGGCTGGTCTCAAACTCGTGGGTTCAGGCAATCCACTCGCCTTGGCCTCCCGAAGTGCTGGGATTACAGGCTAAGCCACGGAGCCTGGCCAAGTATTTGGTTCTAAATAACTCTTTTTTTTTTTTAATAATAACTATGTTTTAAAGAGTAAATTAAAGAAAAATAAAAATCTACCAAACCAATATTCTAAATCATATGAGGCCTGTACCATTTAATACATATTAGAATTTAAAGGAAAAAACATGACAGATGTTTTAAAAACCACATATGTAAAAAAGTTATAATTATCCAAGCTTTATGTGAAGCTTTTAATAATGTTTCTCTGCAAAGTTTGATTTCTTTGTAACCTACATGTGACACCGTTGCCTTAAGTATATAGGACTTTTGGGGATTTTTTTGTCCAGTAAAATAGTCTTCCAATGTTTGCTTTTTCAGCTACTCACATCCCAATTCATCTCTGCAAGTTGAGTTTATAGAATATTCACCTTTTAGGCAGCAGTGCATATGATTTACTTCAGAGAAACAAAACTATATTTTTATTGGTGACTTTTTCAGTTGTAGATTAACTTTTCAACCTTTATGAAAGAACAGAAAGTGTAAGGGGGAAAAAAAGGAAGCTTTTATAAAATAAAAGGAAAGGAAATTTTAAATCAGAAATGATTCTGATTAAGAAAACTGGTTATCAAAATCATTTTTTAAAAAGGAAGAATAGTGTTGAAAGAATTCAGAGCAAAATCTTTGGGGTTAATTGGAGAAAGGAATGTATTAAATAAATTTCAATGCGCAAATTCAAGCAGCATTTATGTTAAGATTAATGCTTAGGGTGTTAGCATTTGAGCAACATTTGGTTAAACACATTTTTTGCTGAATGTTTCATGAGCTCACCACTCTCTTCAATGGACAGGTTTTGGTCTGAAGTCTTTTCTGCCTCTGCAGTGGTGGTACCATTTACACATCCTTCTACAGCACCCCTGTTACTGGCCGTTAAACTGGGATGGTTCTTACTGGAACCTGGACCTAGGGCTTTCTGCCCAACTTCAGAAGTATTTAATTTAGTTTGTTCCTGCCCAGATGTACTTATATCATAAGATACTAGGAGCTTCTCCTCCAAGGAAGGGCCTAAACAAACAGTAGGAAGGATTATTTTTATATAACTACATATTTCTAACATTTTCAATCATTCATTTCCACCCCCATATTCTCAAGGGAAAGCTTTTAGAATTTAAACTTTGAAATAATTCCATCACTGCACATTTACATAGGATTTGAGAGACCTTAGATACTTTAAAGAACTTAAACATAATTTTCTACTGTGATTCTCAAGAAGTCTGTAAGATAGGTAGAATAGTGCAGTGGAAGGAGCACTACTTAAGACTTTGACTAACTATCAGAGAGGCCTTTGGCCAGTTACATCATCTCTGGGTCTGTTTCTATGTCTGTCAAAGAAGGAAGTCTGGACTAAGTACACAGCTGCCACGATCCTTCCCAGCACTATGCTATGTCTTAAGCCAGAGTGTATAGCTGCCTTCATAATTTCATAGATGATAAAAACTAAAATATTAAAGACTTGTCCAAGGACAAACTGATAGTAAATGAACAAACTGGGCTTCTGCTTCCAAGTGTTCTATCACTGAACAGAAATAGCACTCTCTAAAGTAGCTTTCCCTTGCTCATTATTCTTAAGAAAATGATATTGGTGAAGACAGAAGAGTAACTGTCTTAAGAAGTAACTGTCTTAAGAAGTCAGTTTGTGGCCAGGCATGGTGGTTCACGCCTATAATCCCAGCACTTTGGGAGGCCAAGGTGAGAGGATTGCCTGAGACTACGGGTTCGAGACCTGTCTGAGCAACTTGGTGAGACCTCATCTCTACAATAAATCAAGAAAAATTAGCCAGGTGTGATGGCGCATGCCTGTAATTCCAGCTACTTGGAAGGCTGAGGCAGAAGGATTGCCTGAGCCCAGCAGGTTTAGGCTGTGGTGATCATGAGCGTGCCACTGCACTCCAGCCTGGGCAACAGAGTGAGACTAACTCAAAAAGAAAAAAAAAAAAAGTCAGTGTGTTTTCAAAGTTCTAAGGCAGTTTAAATTGCTCCTACTTTAGGAGCAAAAGTTTTAAATCGCCTTTCTGGCATATGTAGACCCTAGAACTTAAAAATCTAGACTCTTGTTTTGGTGAATTTCAACAGTACATTCATATACATACTTCTTTGCTAATATCACTGTACTATTCTACTTATATAACAGACATAAATTATCCCAGGGTATCTTAAGAATATGTTCATTAATAATGCTAGGAGTTACCTGCTTTCTGTACATTGTGAGAGGCTGAAGCAGTAGAAAAATAAGGAATTTGCCCAGGGACACCCTGTAAGGCAAAAGACACTGGAATCTGACCTGGAGGGATAGGCTGTGCCCCAGCCTTCTGGGTATGCAACTGGCCAAGTGGGGTGGTGGGATGGAAGGACTGTAAGGACTGGGACATGGGAGAAGGCCCACATAGGGGGACTTCAACAGGTCCCTGCATAAAGTCACTGAATTCTTCTTCATCAAGAAAGGCAGGTGATGGGGAGACAGTTTTAGTAGAATGAGATGATGTGGGACAATCTGCAAAACGAAAAATGGCAATGAAACACGCAGAAATGAAATCAACAGGGAAAAAGAAATTAAAACGTAGTACAATTCCAAAAGAATATATTGAAACATGAATAGTGGAATTGATCGAGAAATAACAAGTAATAATAGTTAAATGGAATTATAAAATGTATGCAAAACACTTTAATGTCTATTTATACACAATTTTATGTCTTTTTAAAAGGAAATTTTAGCGCTATCTTGCATTTGGTTCAAAAACAGAAAAATTTAAACCTCAAAATTTCTGTCTTTCATTAGGTTAATAGTAATTTTTCCCTTAACTGAGACCACTATATCAGAGTGGTGATTATTTTTGAAATGCAAATGATCTGCTTATTTAGAAAATATTCTCCCAAACCAATATATACCAGATGTAAGAAACCTATCTATAAGGTGCTGAGTATATTTTAGACAGATATATACTCTGATGATTAAATTTCAGTATTTAATAAGAAATTCAGTAAGAAATAATATACAATACTACAAATTTTAATTTTTGATACATCACGCCTGATCTATATACTGCATAGATCATATTTCACTAAAGTTACCATATGAGGAATTAAAATTACAAAAGAACAGTAAACATATTATTAAGGTGATATCTTCTTGTGAAAAGGATCAAAATTGGGATATCATGAAGTGCTGAGTCAAACAACTCAACATATAAAAAAGTAATCCTTGACTAAAGACTATGCTTAAAAGATCTTTGGCACTAAAAGATAAAAGCATCACTGTCACTTTTTGTTAAATGTGAGATTCACTTAAATCTATCGACAGGGACTATATTTAACATGAAACTCATTAATAATACTATTTTACTGGTCCTTCACATTTTTAACTACTTTGAATTGCTTTAATATTTACTAAAGTCTAATGTCACAAGGAGTAGTCTTTTTTTTTTTTACCAAAAAAGCCTCTCCTGAAAAATGGAGACACTGCATGCTTATTATCTCTTTAGGATCAAGGAAATAAAGTCTGGGAGAGATATAAAAAGAATATGCAAAGTTATTGCCTTAATTTTGTTTAAAAAAGAAAGAAGGTAAGGGCTATACTGAATGCCAAGCCTCCCAACAATGGTTACCAAGAATGCAGATTTAGGTTCTCAATTTGGGTTCTTGGCTACTTTGAATATTTTTTAAATGGACTCTGACTATTTACTAGCAATATACTGTAAAGGCTATTGCTTTTAGGTTCTCAATTTGGGTTCTTGGCTACTTTGAATATTTTTTAAATGGACTCTGACTATTTACTAGCAATATACTGTAAAGGCTAAACTAATTTTTTTTTTTTTTTTTTGCATTTGGCTAGGATTGTGTTAATTCTATGTGGTATATATTTGGCCCATAAACTATTCAGCTACGTATATGATTAATAAGCATAAAATTATATGATAAACAGTTTGTATATTCAATAGTCTGAAATAAACAGTCTATGGGAGGGAATTAAAAGATATCTTTGGTGGTAAAAGGGATAGAAACCTGTAACCCCAGCACTTTGGAAAGCAGAGGTGAGAGGACTGCCTGAGTCTAAGTGTTCGAGACTAGCCTGGGCAACTTGGTGAGACCTCATCTCTAAAATAAATTTTAAAAAATTACCAGGTGTTGTGGCACACACCTATGGTACCAGCTACTTGTCTTTTTGTTGTTTTTTGAGTGGGAGTCTCATTCTGTCACCCAGGCTGGAGTGCAGTGGCACACTCACTGCCACCCCCACGTTGACCTGCTGGGCTCCAACGATCCTTTCGCCTCAGACTTCCAAGTAACTGGAATTACAAGTGCACACTACCACATGTGGCTAATTTTTTATTTTATTGTACAGATGAGGTCTCACCAAGTTGCCTGGGCTGGTCTCAAACCCACGGGCTCAGGCAATCCACTCGCCTCGGCCTCCCAAAGTGCTGGGATTACAGGCTGAGCCACCAAGCCCTGCCGGTTCCAGTTACTTGAAAGGCTGAGGCGGACAGATCGCCTGAGCCCAGCAGGCAAGGTTGCAGTGTTTGTGAGCGTGCCATTGCACTTAAGCCTGAGCAACAGAGTAAGACCCTGACTCAAAAAAAAAAAGGTTAGAAACTCTCTTCATATACTTTAGGCCTAGGTTTTAGATCCTAACTGGAAGGCCCTGGAGTTTCCTTGGGCTGCTTCAGAACAACCTTTTTCTAGCTCAGCATGAAGTGATTTACTAGAAATTGTTAATTGCATGCATGTTGATTGAGCTCATGAGATATGAACATCAAAACACCAATTTATTACTTAACAATGAGCATTCCTCATTGTTAATACTTATTGTTAAACTATGGTATAGTGTCAAGAGGGCATTCCATATGGATAGAACAGTGTTTGATCTAACAATGACCATTCCTCTCTACCTTCCTCTCCTTTTTCTAAGTTCTCTGCCAGGTCTAGTTTTAGTATTAGCTTCCAATATCTATTCTTATATTATTTAATAGGCTTATTCAGTTTATCATTTTCATTGTTAGATATGTTTTTCCTTTTTGACCTCAATCTGATTTGATTGCTAATATCCATTCTCTTTTCAATCTTAATGTATATTTTACTTTGGGAATATACTTTTGGAATGTATATTTTACTTTGGGAATATACTTTTGGGAACATAATTTTTGGAATGGGAATCTAGGTATATAATCTAACAAGTGAAATTAACCAGAGTAAAAATTGTCCCAGAAAAATCAAGAATTAGTTACTGTGTCAATATTAGGTTATTCCCTCTTGATATCACCTATACAAGGTACTACAATACAAGAATTCAAAGTAAAACTTATCAATGTAATTTTTCTAGCAAAAGATAGTACTTTTTTGGTTGTCTGAATGACTTATGAAAACTGTTCACCTATTAATGGTATGTTATTCTTGAAATTAGCTCATAATAAAATGTCACAAATATTTAATTTTTTTTTTTTTTTTTTTTTTTGCGACAGGGTCTCCTTCCGTCATCCAGGCTGGAGTGGCACAATCCTAGCTCCCTGCAGCCTTGAATTCCTGGCCTCAAGTGATCTTCCTGCCTTGGCCTCCCAAGTAGCTAGGACTACAGATGCATACCACCATGCCTGGTTAATTCTTTTTTTTTTTTTTTTTTTAAGAGACAGAGTCTCACTATCTTGTCCACGTTGGTCTTGGACTCCTGGGCTCAAATAATCCTCCTAACTTCACCTCCCAGGTGTTAGGATTACAGGTGTGAACCACCACGCTTGGCCAAAAAATGTCAAAAATATTGAATTTTTAAAAAGGACATGGTAACACTTATACAAAGACTCATTTAAATTGCTAAATGTTCAAAACAACAACAGCAACAACAAATCCTTTTACCCGGCTCTAAATAGGCACATTTCTCTTTTGCTTATCAGATGATAAATTATGATAAAAACTAAGAAATGTATTAAATAAACTAAAATTTCATGAGGAGCATTACTACACTCATGCTTCTTAAAATGGGACATTTTAAGAATTTGTAAATTTAATCACACTGAATAACAAAATCTGAACTAGCTCAAAAAACTCTTATTATGTTTGCTCTGAGTGAACAGATTTTACTAATGTTAACATACTCATTTACATACAGAAGATTTACAAGTGAAGTTGTCATGCTGACATTTGACTAGAAGACAAAGTGGTTTTCCAGAGTTCTTAAGTCACTATAAATTTTAAAACATCCAAATCTGCACTTAGCTTGAAGAAAGTGTTCCACACTGACTTTTCACACATATACAATGGTCAATTAAACACACCAGAACTATAAATCACCTCCTGAGAAAATAAAAATTCAATGTCTCTTAAAATTAAAAACTACCTGATTTTTTAGGGTGTGATGCTGGAGTAGGGTGCATTTTAGCATCTCTGGAAAATCCATCTAAATTTCCTTTTATGGCTTCCAAGGCATCATCTCTACTCTTCTCTCCTGTCTAAAAGACAAAAAGTATGCATAGATCTCTTCACTTATCTCTCAATGTGTCCTAAACCCTCCCAAATTAAGAAAAGCAGAAATTAGTCTATTTCTAACATTTTTATCACATACTTCTAAAAATGAATTCTGCAAGTCAGAGAGACATTGATAAATGTATAAAACAAAGACATAAAATAACACTCCATAGAATATAAAAATATTAAAAGGCCCGTTTATAAATGCTTTAGGCTAGAGTGACTTGATATTAAGTATCCTGTGAGGGTCCTAAAAGAATTATGAAATATCACTACATTTAGAATTAATGTTCCCCATGAAAAACATTACAAACATTTCTTACTACTTACTGTCAGTAGTAAGAAAGGGTTGAGAAGATAATGGCTGATGTCTTATTCTTATCAACAACAAAGATCTTTACAGAAAAAGAAAAATTCTTCTTTTTAGGACTTAGATAAACTAAAATGAAAGGAGTCAATCACAGCCTCAGCTTGGGGTGGTGCCTCAGTGATAAAATCCACTGAATGAGTGAGAAGAGGTATGCATAGGGTATGTATGTTTTGGGTGGAGAAGTTGTGAGTGTATTACCTTCGGCTTCACACTACTCAGAAGCCTGAGCTTTTGCTTCTGCTCTTCAAACTGGCGTCTTTTTCTTTCTTCTTCTAAGAGTTTTTGTTGCTGTTCAAATCGTTTTCTGAAGGAAAAACGATCTAATAAAGAACCAGCTTCTGGGATTCTCAACTGCATAACATTCAGATTTTTAACAGTTTGCAATATCATCTGGTATTTCTAAAACAGTAAACTGCTACTAAATATGTCTAATTTTCTTATGACATCCTGTTTCCTTGCTATCTTAATTCCTCAATATTTGACATGAATCTAAAAATGATTTACCTGAATTTTGTATATGAATTTATTTCTTACCTAATTTGCAAGGAGAGGAAATAACCTTTTGCATACAAATGTAATCTCAAAAAACAGGGAAGTAGACAAACATAAAACACACTTTGCCCTGCATATAAAATGAAACTTTCTTGAGAAGTCAGTGTCATCTGGGAGAAAGAATCTGAGAATCAGGAGGTCTGCATCTGGGTCCCAGTTTTGCTGGTAACTGTATCACCTGGACTGACAAGTCATTTCATTTCTCTGGACCTTACTTTCACTAAATGTATAACAAGAGGGTTGAAATAGAAGATTTGTAAGGTCCCTTTTAGCGCTAAACTTGTAATAACAGTATCTTAAAGAGGTTTTTTTTGTTGTTTATTTTTTTTTTTTGATTTATTGTAGAGATGAGGTCTCACCAAGTTGCCCAGGTGGGTCTCGAACCCGCGGGCTCAGGCAATCCACTCACCTCAGCCTCCCAAAGGCGCGGGATTACAGGCTGAGCCACCGAGCCCGGCGCTGTTGTTTATTTTTGATTTGGAGTTTCACTCTGTTGCCCAGGCTGGAGTGCAGTGGCATATACACGGCCACCACAGCCTCAACTTTCTGGACTCAGGCGATCCTTCCTCCTCAGCCTTCCAAGTAGCTAGAACTATAGGCGTACACCACCATACCCAGCTAATTTTTTTATTTATTGTAGAGACAAGGTCTCGCCAAGTTGCCCAGGTTGGTCTTGAACTCCTGGGTTCAGGCAATCCTCTCGTCCCTGCCTCCCAATGGGCTAGAATTACAGGCATGAGTTACCTCACCCGGCCTTTTAAAGAGTTTTAAAGGCAACTTGACTATTTTAGTTTTAAATCTGCACTAGAAATCATTTGACAATTCTTAAGGTAGCTGATATTATGTATCTTTGTTAATCTTGAATTCTGGAGGTCTCTTACTGCTGCTCTTCAGCAAACTGCTTCTGCATGTCTGGAGTATACTGTGGGCCTGGAGGACGCATGCCCAGGAAGGGTGCTTGTCCCAGGTAAGGCATTCCAGCTGCTGGCATTGGTCCCATTGGTATCCCTGCCTAAAGAAACAGAAAAACACTTTAAAAACATAGTTTATCCTTTTGGCTACACAAAGAAAAATGTAATTTCCATAAATTCTTTCTTAATATTTTTAGTAGTAAGTAATATAAATACAATTATAATAAAAGATGCAAAGAATATGGACTAAAAGTGGAAAGCTCCCCTTAATATCTAGCCCCTGTATTCCTTTCACTGTCCCAGAGGCAAACATGACTGATAGATCAAGGAAGGTATGACCATGGAATGGGAAACTAGAATGGTATGTTGGACATGATTGTGATGAGGAAGCCAAAGACCTGGAAGGCCCAGTGTCACATGAGTCATCCATATGATGTTGACATCATCAAGAGCAGTTTAAGGGTAGAATGGAAAATAGGAAAGTTTTAAAGTATCCAGTTGAAGAGTGAGGAAGTTGAGGGTCACTAGACGACATGAACAAGATAGGAAAGTAAATGATGAAATCTGATGGCAAGAAATTAAAATGTATTTGGATTTTTTTAAAGATAGGAGAAAACGTTTAGAAGAAGCGAGAAAGAATGTTTCCTACTTAGGAACTGTAGAACAGAAGCAACTATCTCCAAATAAGAGGGTTCAGGAACACAGTTCAGTTAAGGACAGAAGGGGAACGTTTCAGGGAAGGTTGAAGAACAGAAGTTTTCTTTCAGTAAAAATTAGTTGTTATCATTATTATCATCTTTTTTTTTAGTTGGAATCTCACTCTGTCACCCAGGCTAGAGAGCAGTGGCACACTCACAGTCACCCCAGGGTCGACCTGGGTTCTGTGATCCTTTCACCTCAGCCTTCTTCCAAATAGCTGGAACTACAAGCATGTGCTACTATGCCTGGCTAACTTTTTTTTTTTTGAGTCTCACTCCGTCACCCAGACTGGAGTGCAGTGGCCACTCCTGGCCACCGCAGCCTTG